CATCATAATTATAGTTACGAAGAATCAGTAATATAATTTGATTTAATTTACTTAGTGAAGAATAATCGAATTTACACGTGCATACATGATTGTATTGGTCCTGTGCGGCATCACACATTGTGCAGCTACCCTAATTAATTAATATTCAATATAATTAATTACTATATATTAATACATATTTATATAATTACTATATAGACTTATAATTCTAGTATTCAACAGACAATATCTGAGATTTTTGAACAGTCAAAAGTTATTAAAATACATAAAGAAGCATGAAATTATAAGATTCAACAAGCCATTGCTAAGTGGATTATCATTGACAATTTGTCATTTAACATAGTTAAGGGAAAGAGTTACCAAAAGATGATGAAAATTGTTGACCCAGCCTTTCATCTTCCTACTGATAAAAGAATAAAAAAGAAATTATTAGCAGCTATCCCAATGCAGTTAAAAACTTAAAAAAATTATTAGACAATACATGTGAATCAGTATCTTTAACGGTTGATCTATGGACTTCAATAAGTAAGCATGGATATATAGACATAACACTCTATTGGTTGTTAGATGATTTTAAAGTATATAATTGTTTACTTTGTATAGAACATATATCATATCTATATTTAGCTAAAAATATAGTTGCAATCTTAAAAAAAATATTCTTGATTTGGGTTAGATAGAAAGATTAATTGTGTTATAATGGATAATATTAGCAATATGGTTAGGGCAATTAGTTTGTGGGAAGCTGTTGAATATCTGCCTTGCGCAGCTCACACCTTGCAGCTTTCAGTTACTCATGTCTTTAAAAAAACTAAAATTTACATTAAAAGAATAAAAAAACTAGTTTGATTTTTTACTAAATCACCTAAAAAAAGTAAGCATCTAGATAATGCACAATGAGAATATTAGTAGCATCAAGACCAAAGTCATAATATAAGTAATGAATCAAGTTTTAATAATAGTGATTCAGATAATTCATCAGTTAATATTGCAAATTCTAAAGAATCTATTTTACGAAATATTTCAAATATTGAAACAAGATAAAACTCAAAGTATCATTCATAGAAGTGGCTATTTAAATTACATAGAGCAATAGAATGGTTAGTTGCAATACTACCTTTATCAGATAATATGAATAATAGAGAGGATGGTTGAAAGTTAAAAAAATTAGCTTTATTACCTTACAAGTAGAATTTATTAAATCTGATTGAACTTTAATAAAACTGTTTGATGATGCTACTATCTATTTTTGGTTCCAAATATGCTACCTTATCAATTATATATCCTTTAATTCAAGCTTTAAAATATACATTTGCTGATACTAAAATAACTGATGATATTTTATACAAAGAAGGTAAAGTAAAATGACTTTTTTAGAAAAATTTACTATATATATGGCATTCACAATTAGCATTATTAATAATTTCTAAATTTATTTAAAAGACACTCCAAATTTTCGCCATGAAGAATCAATAATGATGATAGTGATAAATCAGATCTTGAAATATCAGAAGCTACAACAAACTGTCACCAAATATATTCAACTACAATTGTCTCTACTAATTTAGCTAATAATTCTTTACAAAATACCCAAGTAATTAAAACAATACAAAATATAATTTATAATTCATTGTTTGATTACTGAAATAAATCTATAATAACTGGTTTGTTGGCATCACTTTTGAATCCACGCTTAAAAACACTCTCTAATTGGAATGAAGCAACTCAAAAAAAAGCTAAAATTGAATTAACACATCAATTTGAAGTATTAATTGCTTCAAATTTGAAACAAACAATTGCATCAATGCTTCAAAAAATAGTAATATTTACTGTGGTCATTTACATTTGTCAATTTTTGGCACCTCTGTAAATAATACTACTTCTAGTCCTTTGGATGAGTTGGAATATTACTTGGATCCTATATGAACTCCTATTGCTAAAGATGATATCAACCCATTTGATTGGTGGGCAAATTGGAAAACACAATTTCTTTATGTAGCAAAATTGGCTAAAAAATATTTATTTATCTCTGTATCTTCTGTGCCTAGTGAAAGGCTATTTTCAGATGCGGAAAACCTTATTACCACTAAATATAACTGACTAGATCCAAAACTTGCAGGCAAAATAATGTTTATGAAAAGAAATTCTGATATAATTTCATTGGTTTAAATTTTTTTTATTATTAATAAAAATAAATATAAATAGCAATTTTATTTAAATATTAATAAATATTAGAATATTACAATTATTAGCATTTAGTTATTTATATATTACATTGTCAAAGTATGATCTGTTATCTATTTTTGATCTAAGTTAAACTTAATTTGAGCTATAAACAGATAATAGTTCATATTTCTATATACTAATAATACAATAATATATTTATTTTACAAAAATTTAATTGGTTTTTTATTCTATATATTTAATATATTTTCACTCAGGTTATTTGATTTTAATTTATACAAATGACTCGGGTTAGAAAATTGTATCCGGGTCTGATCTCTAACAATTATGATAATAGAATTACAAGAGAGATATTATTTTAATTTGATAATTAAATTATTTATTAATTAGAGATGAGATTAGTAAAAATCTATGAATAAAATAAATATTCACCTAAAAATGAATATTTAGTTATATAAAATTTGTTAATAGTTGTGGATGCTTAATGAATATTTACAACCAAATTTACATATAGTTGACACTTGAAATTTACGAATTTTTGTATTTTAATAGTCATAATAAATATTTAAAGAATTCTATCTATTATTTATTAATAAGCAAAAACTAAATGCTTTAATTAAATTACAGATTTCAAATTCAGTTCATCATTGCTATTTAGTATATCTTTTTAGCATACAAGCAAAGAAATACCGTTAAGAAAATTTATTAATATATTTTATGTTAATAAAGTATATATTAAATGATATTAATTTATACGTATAGCTTATATTCATGTTACAGAAAATAACAAAGCAGCACAGAAATTGATTCAAAAAAACTAGAATGTCCTATTAAATTTTAGTACTATGTGCTTGAAAATCTTGAAGAATGCTTATATATTATTATTATATCATGATATACCCATAATTATCCTTCTTCTCCACTATCTAAAATATCGACTATGATTTAGAATGATTTAAAAGATATAATTGCTGAAGAAAATATTTTAGATCTAATAGCTAGAAGATTAATTACCCATATATATTTCTTAGCAAGTTTAAGGCAATACAAAATTAATTTTTTTATTTTGTATTACTTGATATTTTAAAGTTTCAATCAGATAGTTAGATTTTTTTTATTTTAATTTAATTAATATGGGCTGCCGTCAATAGAAATCAAGCAGATCTATATTTGAAAAAAAATCAATACCTTAAATTTCACAACTCATATCTCGATGAATTTTAGAGGCATCTTGATGATTTAATA